CCCCTGAACCATAGTAGGATACTGCTGTAGCACAGATATACCCACAGATTAGGTGCTGTTTTCTTCAACAGGAAGATCAGATTTAATTACCTTTATACCAGTCCAGTGCTGTTTGAGCTATAAAACTATCAAAGTTTCTAATGTATCAATTTAAAAAAAGACTAATACTAATATTTGTTACCAACCAGATCAAGATCTGTCAATAGTACCACTATTTATTTGTATCAGAGAGGTAGCCGTGTTAGTCTGAATCTGTAAAAAGCAACAGAGTCCTGTGGCACCTTTAAGACTAACAGAAGTATTGGGAGCATAAGCTTTCGTGGGTAAGAACCTCACTTCTTCAGATGCAAGAAACTACTTGCATCTGAAGAAGTGAGCTTCTTACCCACAAAAGCTTATGCTCCCAATACTTCTGTTAGTCTTAAAGGTGCCACAGGACCCTCTGTTGCTTTTTACTATTTATTTGAAACTTAACACAGCAAATTTCATATGTTTATCAGTGATAGCACTGTGGCTGCTTGACAGGTTTGTTTTCATAGATTTTTCCTTCTCATCTCTGCTTGAAAGTTCAAGTTTCAGAGTTTTAATACTGTTTTAATTTCTACCACATATGAAGCACAACAGAAATAGACCTAGAAGAGGGAGAAAAAGTAAATGGGAAAACTGCCTGGACGGAACTTTCTTTAAATTCAAAAGCTTTCAGATCTATTTTTGGTAGAGAAGTTGTTTGTCAGAACTTTGGTTTATTCACCATACTTTTTAACTAATCAGAGATCTAGTTGCAGATTTCCACTTTTAAGACATCTTACTGGGTTTAGTCACCTCCAGTCTTACATGTGCCTTACTCTGCTCAAAAACAACAGTTCTCCTTGAAACAGGGAAGCCTGCTTTTAAACCATTTGTGCTTCCTTGTGCCCTAGGGCTGTAGGAGCAGATTAGAGTAGATTCAGGGCTGCTCTAACTTGTACTACTTCTAACCGCTCCCTAAGGAGCATTACACCAAGCAGGTTGCAAAAGCACAGCCCACTTCAGCCACACCTCATTCT